CTCTGTTGCCTGCTCTGGCCCTTTATAAATGGCTTTATTCTCCCATGCTAGCTCAGGGTTGCCATTTTCTCCTCTTGACCTTTTCCACATGATATCCTAGCACAGACAGAGCAACTGAATTTGATTGGACCACCTTCTGAGAGTAAAAAACGTTCCAATAATGCCAAAATAATGAGTTAATTTATGAGGGCTGCAGCGCTGTTTCCTTTGAACCCAAAATATCTCCAAAGCAGTTACTCCTTTTTAAGTTAGACAATGGGAGAGCAATAATAAACAAAAATGAAGAGTAAACCAGTGCAATAATGATTTGGAAACTGCAGCTAATAATTTATAGGTGATGCCTCCATGTCCTTGGATGTGATCATAAAATGAAATATTTTCGTATATTATCCATAGCTGGAAAAAGTACAAGAAATTGCCAACTGAATCTAAACTGAAAGCTTTTGAAGCAGCAAAATGTGACACTTCTTGCAATGAGTTTTTTCACTGGAACATAATCTTGCATTCCTGACTGCCCTAGCATTTATATTACCATTCACTCTTGCTGAGAAATACATACTGTAAGGGATTTTTTTTATTGTCAGTATTATTACAAAATAGTCCAGCAAAATAACATTGCAAGACAGTGACGTGTCTATCATATTTGAATTATTCTTTCACTATAGCATATTTTAAAGTAAAAGTTATTTCTATTTATGAAAATGCTTTTGAGATGTTTTTTCCTGAAATTATTATTACTGAGCAACACACCTTACATGGAGTCTTGCCATTAAAGCTTAGAATCCTGCGGTTTTCTAGGATTCTGCCTTTTTAACTAACAATGTTAATTTTTAAAGCTAAATTTCCGAAAATATTGACAAAAATGAGAAAGTAGGATTTCTACCAAACAGAAAAGAAAGAACATATTTTGCTTGGGAGGGGGAATGTTACCACAAATATAGTTTATTTCATGTTTTGCATTTTGTTCTTTCCACAGTGAAATCAGATGAGTTGCAAACAATCAAGAAAGAATTAACTCAAATCAAAACGAAGATTGACTCCTTGCTAGGGAGACTGGAAAAGATTGAAAAGCAGCAAAAAGCTGAAGCAGGTAGGTAAAAGTCATTTATAGTGAAATTAATTAAATTAGAACCTCGTTACCAGTCAAGCAGACAGACTAAAGAGAATGGAAGCTTTCTGAAATTTTGGTACTTAATGGAGGCCTGAAGCAAAGTAAATTAACTCTCGGGTAGAACTGTTGAGAGGATAGATTAATATTCTTCACAGAACATGCATCATCATTTAAGAATTGTTTTTTATTATGTAGTAGGAAAAAATAATTTCTCTAGTTGTTCTGGAAACAAAATACCACTAAAAAACTGACTGAACAGAATAAAGATAGAAGTTTTTGACCATGGGGATGCTTGTACTAGGTACAATAAGAATTAACAGATGGTGTATACCAATAATTATTGCTTGAGCAATAAGCAATAGGTAGTAGTCACAAGCTGAAGCAAGGAGAAAAAATCTGTTTGATATAAGGAAAAGAGATGCAACTAGTACAGTGAGTTGACCAGAGAGACCATAGTGGCTCCATCCTTCGAAACATTCAAACTCATTGGGCTCATGACCCATGGACCTGGGCCAAAATTTGAGTTCATCCCTGATTTGAAGAGGGATTGGATTTGGAGAGCCCAGAGATACTTTCCAACCTCAGTAATTCAGTCAAGCTCTGGCCTCTTTGTAAAGCTGGTTACACCTGCAGTTTAGCTTTTTTTCTGGCTTAAAAACTTTTGGTTTTGGCAAACTTTGGGAATGAAAAAAATCCAGTATTTTATATTGGATTGTATTTATAATTTACTTTATAATTTAATCAAGTCAGTGCAGTGTTCATTTTGTTAGATGAATGATCTCACCTGGCAGCACTTTAAAGCACTGTAACTGAGAGTTATAAGGTTGTATTTTCACCATGGTAGCTATAAAGCCAAACTCAGTTCTTATGCCTGTCTATGGCGTTTTCTTTGCTATTTCCTTATAGATCACATATTTTTTTTATAGCAGCTTTATACTAGTGAGTTGATTTTGTGAGAGTCAGCAGGGAAATGGAAGCCTTATCTCATGAAAAACTCATTTTTTTTTTCACCCCTCCCGTCTGTGATAAAACCTTTTTATGAATTTTGTATGAAATGTGTGAAAGTCATTCTGCCTCAGAGCCCACAGCTGCCTGGGTCTATGGACAGTAGTCAGTTACATGAAGCCAAAAACCCATGGGGACACATAAAGACAATTCCATCAAGACCGTCTAAAACATCACTGGGAATTAGCAGTTGAAGGTTAGAAACCTGACACAGGCAAAATAGGAATTTAGATATGGATTTCTCCTGTTCCCAAGTAATGTTAAAAAAAAATCTTTGAAAAATAACCTACCTTTTCTTTACAATCATTTTCTAAGTTGATAGACAAGGACCAGTCCCCCAGCTGTTACAGTTTATCTCACAAAGCTGAGGGCTTTTTTCAAGTCTAAGGTAAACCATTAGCAGAGTGTGTGATTATCTCTTTCAGGAGAACTCTGCACAATATGTATTCATTAGATTCTATTTTGTACTTTATGCAAGTTGGATAAAAGCTGATATAATTGTGAAGATGTAATTGCAAGGCACTCCATTGAGTCCCTTGTGCACTGAAATACTCTGACTGTGCATCCCTACCTTGGGGAGCTTTTATGTTACGATGCAAAACAATCTGCAGATCATTGTACTTTGATATCCAATTTTCACTTTTGCTAAAGGACTGTAGTGATCTCATTTAAATAGCTCAAAGAGGAAAATGTTGATTTGTATTGAGTCATAGTCTTATGCCTTCTGAAGACAAGCAATGAACATCCTCAGATATCAAAAAACGTTTTCAAAATATTGATGTTTTAAAACATCAGGTGCAGAACTCATTCCTCATATTCTTTGTCTCTCATTAGAGGGTGTGAGGAGAAAAATACCTCAAAGATACCCATAAGCATGGTACTCCATTTAAGTTTCCTGAGCTGATGAGGAGGGTTATGCAGCGTGGGTGATTAGTCTGCAGATCCAAAAAGGTTCCTGTGAGCTACATCAGTAGCTGAACTATTTCATTTAGAATATCAGATGGGAGATGATGAGATGATTTTGTTCCTTCTCTATGGCCTGGCAATGTTATTTCTTATTTTCCTCTGCCAGAAGGCGTGGCCTCACTGACACTGGGATCAGGGAGAGGATCTGTCTCACATTTCATAAAGCAAAAATCAAGCTATCATCTTGTTCTTTTGTTTTTTTAAGTTTGACTCCCTCTCCTGAAGAATTTTTAATCCTAAAATTTGTTACATCTGGAGGCATATGATGTTACAGGCTAGACAAACTCAGTGCTTACATTGGTTATTGCTCTACAGCTGCATGAAAACTCTCCTTACAGTAACAGCTGATGTTCTGGCTTTTTCTGTTGTCAACCTCTAACCTTTCCAATAGGGGGAATATAGAAAATAGGATTTCCTGTACATAGGAAAACTGTAGAAACAGCTCCTTTTCTTGAAAAAATCTGAACCAGGAAGATGGGAAAAAGCTGTTCTGACATGAAAAAAAAAGTTAGAGAATATTCTTGCTGTAATATTAGAGATTAGGCTCTAATTAGGCTGAAAGTTAGGTACTTAAGTTTAGGTTCTCCAAAGAGCCCAAAAGAGATGGGTACTGAGATGGTATTTTAGCTTTCTCTGAAGAATCCAGTCTATGTTCTCATTAAGACAATTTAGTAAGTGACCTAATTTTTTTAGCAGCTGTATCTTAGAAGGTTTCCCATTTAAATGCATTTTCTATCAATTCAGCAACCTTGTTTTTAAAAGCCTTAACCAAAATTTATTCAGTTGTCATTGCCAGAGCTGAGTGATCTCAGAAGTGGCTTAAGACAGGAAATGGTAGGGCCAGACATAAAAGGCATGGGTGATTCCACCCATATTTCCTTGTGCATAAGGCAAGTAACACAATCACTTATAACTAGCTTGGCATTGTATGGAGCATCTTACCTAGATAAGGCTCCATGGGCTGAATCTTCTGCTAATACATGTGACTACAGTACTGTTGAAGCAGCTGTCTAAGACGACTTTGCATTCTTCAAATCTAAGAATCTTTCTGAAGACTTTGGGTGACTGAGGGAGGAAAGCTTAATTTTTCTCTTTCTTCAGTAAGCGAAGTTGAAAATGAGGGACTAAAGACTGATGAAGACTAAAGAGATGAATGTAAGTGGCAAAATAAATGTGCAGAGTCAAAACATAAAACAAATGTCTTGTTTAAGACTATGGAACAGAAAAATGCAATCAGATTTGAATAGCGTGTTTCCTGGTAATAATTTATGGTAAAAAAATAATATGCTCAAAGAGCTTCAAAAATATAGAGGTTCAAGGCAATACTTGATTCATTGGCTGTCCAACAAGATAGGTAATGAACTACTAGTGTTACAAAACAGTCACTCTGACAAAGGAAGAAATATTTTGTTCTAGAAATTCTGTCATTGATCACCCTCAGACTGATATTGTTTTTCTAGATTCATGCAACCAATTCTCTGGCCTGACTCATTTTGAGTACTTAAAGTTTTTCATGTAAGTTCCTGACATGCACAGGAATAACACTGATTATTTCTTCTACATTCTTCAAACATTCTTCTAGCCAGTCTGTCTCTGTCATTCTTCCATCAATCTTCCTCTGGATTTCTGCTGTTTGGATGACGTTCCTCAGTGTAGCCAAGAGTTTCACAATACCTAGTCACAACAACGCAGCTACTCTCATGAAGTCACAGAATCACAGAATAACTGGGTTGGAAGAGACCTTCAAGATCAAAGAGTCCAACCCATGCCCTAACACCTCAACTAGACCATGGCACCAATTGCCACATCCAGTCCTTTTTCAAACACGTGAACCAGAACAGTCAACCAGAACAGATTCTTCAGGCCTCCATGGAAATGGTCTTTCTTTTCTCCCCTTTTCAGAAAATATAGAAAGCCAATATTTGGTTCATTGGAGGGGAGCATTCTCCAGTTACTTCAGCACATTATACTAATGAGGAGTAATGGATGCTTTACTCCATAAAAACATGTTTGCCTGCCTAAAAGAATTTGTTGATTACCTGTATGGCTGTTAAGATATATTCACAGTAAATTCACACAAATTCTTGTTTATATATTGGAAATTAACAGCCTTCTGCTTCTCAGAGCATAGATATTTATGTACTTCTCATTGGCTGCACATGAATAAATATCTGGTGACTATGCCAATTGGATTCTAAGGTGAAGTCAAGTACAGAGAATCAGAAAGCTGGATCTGTTGGTAAATCAAACCTTCATCCACTGCATGGCATAGATGGGGTAGATGACCACATTGATATTGTGATTTATTTATGGACTAATTTTGGAAAGAAAAGTTTTCAGTCATATTTGCCCGGTAGACATTATCACACAGAATTTTACAAAGCTAGTACATCTGGAGATGGAAGCTTAAGTTTCTTCTGCAGAGCACTTTCCTTTGCCACCAATAGGAAAGGCTACTGAATCTCTATAGAGTATGTTTTCCTTACAGAAGCCCAAAAGAAACAAATGGAAGATAATGCTGATTTGATTCAAGAGGAATGCATATCAGAGAATGCAGATAACTCTACGGAAGAGCCAATTGAAGGAGGGCCAGATGCAGATGGGGATGGAGAAGATATGACTGATGGGATAGAGGAGGATTTTGATGAGGATGGCAGCAATGAGCTGGTAAGGAATAATCATGACATGTCTGTCTATATGGTTCCTACAAGTAACCACAGAGAACCAACAATCTGGATTAACAAAATAAGGTCACAGCAGCACTGTGATGTTCTGTTACTAGTGCCTAGACCAATAATCCTCATGCACTGTAATACCAATTTAGCATAGGAACCTCCAAGGAGAAACAAGAAAAATATTTTTTACTACATTTGGTGATTTTAGAAAGGAAATAAAATGTAGTTTATATTGATTTACTTTTATTATTTTATATATGTAAAAATGTAGTGGGGTATTTTTTCTTTTCCTTTTTTAACTGCTGCTTTTCAAAATTAAATAAGATTCTAAAATGGTGAATTTTCCTTTATTAAACATGTGCTTTCCACAGTCTCGAGTCTCTGTCTTCCATGTGTATACTCTGCAGGCTGTATTGGCTGATACAGAAATTTTGATGGAAGGATTTCTGCTTAAGAAATGTTTGGCTAAGAAATGTTTGGGTTTTAAGTCTGAGGCTGCACCTTTCATGAAATACCCATTATGGTGCTAAACTCCTAAGTTCTTCTAGAGCAACATTAAAAAATATTTGGATAGTCAGGTTTATACCTTTGTATGCATTCTTAATTAAAATGGAACAGTCACAGTGGTTTAGCCTCTATAACACACTCCCTCCCTTCCTAGTTTTCTTATTCTGTTTTGAGCTGAAAAAACTTTTTTTGCTCATTGTCATTGCTTTCATTTAAAAAATATTTTATCATATGTGTACAGTAAAAATCTTTTAGTGAAGCAGCAGAAGTCAGTCAGCAAGGGACCCAGCAGAATCAACAGCAAGTCTGGAGTAACGAAGCATGTGAGTAAGCAGTAGTTTGTACTGCTTACTGCAAATGCAATTTAAACCTACTTGTAATTTTCAGATTTGTGTCCCATTAGCCAGCTCAAGACTGTCTTGAATTTCTATATTCTGAATAACATTATTCCCAGAATAAGCTACTAAAACATGAATTCTCTCATCTTTTTACATGCCATATAGAACAGATGACATTATTCCTCATTCCTAAGGAGACAGGTTCTCTTCTTCAGATATGAAGTAAGAAGCTGTCACTCAGAATTTGTAGGGAGTTGACATTTTGTAATTAATAAATACTTGTAAATATAATCTCCCACCATAGCTAATACCTGAAGAGCTGGAGTGATTTTTGCAATTGGGGTGGCCACAGTTTAACAAGAATGGTGTGGTTTGCACTAATTAGGTAGCAGACTCCCCATTACAGACAACTAAGTGGGGATGTTAACATGCAGTGCATTAGATTCTGACTGCTCAATACTGTCATTTCACCCTGTGGATTTGACATAGTTAACATATATCCACACTATATGACACAAAAAGTAGAAGAATTTTTTCATCTATCAAAGGCCTCAGCAGGAAAGGCTCTATAAAGCAAGCAGCACAGGAAGAATTCATTAGCAGTGAAAGTCTGGAATTGGCACAGCCACATTTGCACACCACTGCTTCCAAGTTAAAAGCCTTTCCAAGATTCATATTGTGGAACTAGTTGAATGCAGTGCGTTGCAGACGCAGCTGCAAAGACAGCTCAGAGGTCTGACACACATCTAAGGCATGGTGGGGAACCAGCTCCAGCTTCTCTGCATGTCATCACTAAGTGCATGAGTGATGAGAGGAGGTGGCTCACTGCACATGGAGAGTGGTGTCCTCTGCATTGCATCCTGGCAGGAGTGGCATCTCCCCCATCCCAACAGGATGGTAGCAAGGAAAGGCCGAGGAAGAGGACTTCTGTGCATCATTTCAATCAGGTGCAGCCTGGTGCAATGCCAGGGCAGTGGAGCCAGTCAACCTCATGCCTTCCACCTTCCCAAAGGCTGCGACCCTCTAGCTGAGAAGCTGGAAATCCTGTAGACTTTAAAGCTTACAACTAAGATTGTCAGTGATGTAAAATCCCTGTCCTTTTCATCCTCCCTTGACATTTCCATCAAGTTTTTGAAGGGGCTACTTCACCTTAACTTTCCTGCCTGCTGCAGGGTGATAATAACACTTTCTTCCTTTTGCAAAGACTAGGGAGATTAGTGACTGCAAACCTGCAATGGATAGGATAAAGGATTGCTCAGCAAAGGATTGCTTCAAAGAAATCTCAGGGTATGGGTGTTTTCCACAGAAAGGGAATTATAAATTTAATTATGTATCTTTCCTTTATAGTTTTTATTCAAACAGCAGTATTGGCCTGTATACTTATGATATGAAGATGGTAGTTTTGTATGCATGTTGCATTTAGACTGTTTTATACTGGCATATATTTATGTAGATATACTGGCCGATTCCTATAAGCTTTAATTTCTATTCTAATCATTGATAGATCTGTAAAGGGAAGGACAGTAACAGTGCTACCAAATCTATAGTGAATACCCCTGCAGAAATACTTGGGAATTCTCTCTGCTTCTACCTATTCTGTGTCCTCTTATCTGAAATTGCCCTCTGTCTTTTGAAAAGTAAAGTGGATATATAAGCTTGTTGTAAAGCATGTCCTAACAGATATTGTTATCCTGTTTTATAAAAGCTTAGTTATTTAGGAAAAAAAAAAGCTGACTATGAGAAAATATGTAATTTTGGAATGGAGCCAGTTACAAATATTTTGAGAAAAAAGAAAGAAAGGTTAAAAATTAAAGTTGTTCAATGTGACAACAGTAACAAAAACTTTCCACATAAGAAAAACGTCACTATTTTGTGTAAAATAGTACACTGAACTTGGAATTTTTAAAAAAAAATCTTCCAAAAGGCTTTTCAAAAATGAAATCTATACTGTTTCCCAAACATAGAGCTAAAGGAATTTAAGACAATGATCAAGAAAATATTTTCTTTCACCACTAAGACCAGCAGAGGAAACAGAAAAATATTTAAACGGGCAAATCTAATGCCCTGAAGTCATTTCAGCAGGAAAATTTAATTAAGTCCACTAGTATCAAAAATATTAATAGAGGAAAAAAGGAAAATTACTTAAATTTATAACTTAACCTTTAGGGAGTTCTTCAGATTTATCTGTAAATCTTCTGCCAGGTCATTTCACAAAACCTGCTGCAGGTTTGCTGAACAGAATTTTGTTTTCCTAAGTCTGTCAATAAAGGGAGGTGTTCAACAAGGTCATACCCACTGCCAGAGTCCAGATGCTGCCAGAACGGAGCCTCTGAACCCGTATATGTGGGTCTCCATCTTTGCAGCAGAGGACTCAAAAATATATTTCTTTATTTATTTCTAATGTTAACTTGCTAACAAAGTGACTTCGCAGGCTGTATGCTGTGTGTTTAGGTGTGAGGATCAGTTCCCTAAATTCACACATTGTCTATTTGAAGGAACAGGTTACTGCACATTAACTGAGTGATGGCAGCTGTCCTCATGCCTGCCTTCAGCCTAGATCAACTGTACAGAAAGACACCATCTGAGTTAAGTCAGGCATGGGTTTAAGAACCCTTCAGCCTCTTCAGTTGTCTGCCTGGCTGCACACACAAAACAGCATCATACTCAACAGCTGCACACTTTCTTCATCCACCATCTAGATCAAGATGATTTTCAACCTTGCATTGTAATTTTCTATGACTAAAGACATGCCCACAAACAGTCATTATGGCTCAGCTAAAGCATGAATAAGTTTTACACAGCAATAACTTGATTGCACATCCGAGCTCCAATTTGAGACAGGATGCATTTGAAGCACCTGCTGCAGTCATCAAACATCACCTCTTTTGTCTGTCACTTCTTTTGTACTGTTTGCCCAAAAGTGTCTCTCAGTAAATGTCTCCAGTATTCCAGACAGTCTGGCTTTAAGGATATCCTTAGAAAATTCCCAAAGAATTTTGTTGCATTTTTATACTGAAGAGTTCTCTAAAAGGCCATCTCAGAAACACGATCCATCTATGTATGAATATGTTAAAGTTGGCTTCAACTTGCTCAGTGAAGTGTGCCATAAACTTTCATCCATATGCTTTCACACAGCTTCTCACTCCCCCTTGTACGAGGGCATGCATATTTTTAAGTTTTACATATATATATAATAGTCACTAGTTTGTTGTGTCTCTCCTGAGCTTACTTTACAATTAATGTCACTTAACTGAACCACTTAACTGACTGTCAGAGGTAGCGAGAGGGGTTGAAAACTTCAGGTCTATTTCCTTTGCTCTTTTTAGGTAAAAAAAACAAGTTAAAATCTGGTTATCCCAGATTTTACTGGACCTATAATTCAAGCTTTCATTCCACTCCTAACATTGAACAGTTTCTAGTAGCAGTGAACTTAAACTTTCTGAGCTCCTTCCTAGTGCATTCCTTTTAATTTAAGCTGTTCCTCAACAGTGTTGGGACAAAGACTAAACACACTGTTCCAACACCCATCCCATTTTATGGAAAACAGGCTCTCATGAAAGATCTTCATTTTTACTAAATTAAGTTCACACGCAAATCACAAGCATATCACAAATTACCGAAACACAAGTCTCCAGTGATATCAAACAGGTTTTGTGTGTCTGCCATGGTTTGAAATTGTAAGTAGTGGGAAGGAAAACAAACTTTTCTTACTGCTGTGGCTGCACAGGGGAGAACAGAAAAGTGGCCTTTGCAACACAGTCCATCCAACACGTTATGATATCCGAAAAGCAGCTTGTCAGTCCCTTTATAACAAGTCTGTTCTTTCTAGAAATAACATTAATATTATTAATTAATATTATTTAATTATTATTAATTCTTAATATTGTTATATATTATATGTGAATTATTATATATAATATAATATACATTATATTATATATCAATATAATATATAATTAATATATCATATATTAATTATATTAATATATATGTTAATATAATATATAATGTAATATATAATGTAATATAATATATATATATATATTATTATTATTATTATTATTATTATTATTATTACTTATTACTTATTACTTATTACTTATTACTTATTACTTATTACTTATTACTTATTAATATTATTTAAAAA